AACACCCCCCCCCCCCCCCCCCCCCCCCCGGGAAAAAAAAAAAAAAAAAAAAAAAAAAAAAAAAAAAAAAAAAAAGGAAAAAAGAAAAAAAGTTAGGGGCATTTCCCCCTTCCTTCCCCTTTAATTTCCTGATTGTAGATCTTGAAACGAGACCCGAGGCCTCTGCAAAGAGCCAAACCCTCAGGAAAGAAACAAAAAACAAGCGAAAAAGCGCAATTTTCCGCTCCCGTTTTGCACTATTTCTGCTTTACAGGGTTTTTTTTTTCCTCTCGATTTTTGCTGCTGCCGGCGGAGGAGGGGAGGGGGTTTTGTTATGGGAGGAAAGGAGCCCGGGCTGCCCTCTGGGCTGTCGCAGGAGGTGTCAGAGGCGATGGGGACGAATTTTGGGAGCTCCCGGCAGCCTCAAAGCCCGCAGCGCGCTCCTCGCACCCTCTCGGGCTTATCGGAGCCAGATAAACCCGGGATTTAAGCGCGGCCTAACGCCCTCCCTGCCTCGCGAGGAGATCGGGGACCGAAAAGCCGCTGGTGGAAATGGGATTATCCCGAAAAGCCGAGCGGTTCCTCGGTCGGAACCTCCCGCTGCTCCCCGCACCCCACACGGAGCTACCTCAGACCAATAAAGTTGATTTTTTTTTTTTTCTTTTTCCACAAATCCCGTCCTTTCAGCACAGTGGGAATCTCTGGGAATTGCGGGATGCGGGGCGGGGGGAGGAGGAGGAGGAAGGAAAAGTCAGCGGCTGTTCCAAGCATCCCAAACAAAGGGGCCGATCCCTGTTCCTGGAATCGGGCCCGGCTTCCCTCGTGGAATTCTGCACTCATTTCCCGGCCTGATGAGAGCAGGAAATCGTCCCCGGGGTGAAAATCCGGGAATTCGCATCCCGCAGAAACCGGGCCGGGGATGGGAGGAATTTCTGATTTCCTGAGTTTTTCTTTTCTGAATTTCGGATTTATTCCGAATTCTCGCGCCTCAAACCCCAAAAAAAGTTGTCAAAAGTGGTTTATTCCCTTCCGCTCCCCCAAGGCCGGCCCTAAAAGGGGATTTCTCCCAGAATAAATCAAATTTCGGGGTTTTACCTCCAGGGAGGGACGGGAGGGAGGAAGAGCGGGCCCGGTGCAGCTCTGACCTTTTTACCTCGAAACGCCTCTGGGATTTCTAAACAAGTCAACAGGAGGCTGCCAGGAGGATCCATTGTTCGGCCTTGGGTAAATTTGCAAATCCGCTCGGCGGGGGCGGCCGGGGGACGCGGGATGAGGGATGAGGGATGAGGGATGAGGAGGGAAGTACCTGCCGCGGCACCGCTCTGCCCCGCAGATAAAATCTGTCCCCGCTCTAATACACTCCTTTCTCTCGAAAAAAAAAAAAAAAAAAAAAAAAAAAAAAAAAAAAAAAAAGGGGTTTGGAGAGCCCAATTAGCTCCGAGATAAGAGGGGGGAGAAAAAACCGAGGGGAAAAGGTGAAAAGGGGATTTTCTTCCAGTCGCGATTTGCAAAAGGTCAGGAGGAAAACACTAAAACAAAGCCTCTCACCCCAAAAAAAGGCTCAGAAAACGCCCGGATTTGGGTCTCGGAGCATCGCTGGGGCAGGGAGAGGGATAGGAGCGGGATTTGCTCCCAATAAAAGATTTTAGAGAAGCCAATTAGCTCCGAGATAAGAGGGAGGGAAACAGAGGGGAAAAGGTGAAAAGGGGATTTTCTTCCAGTCGCGATTTGCAAAAGGTCAGGAGGAAAACACCGAAACGAACCCAAAAACCACGCGCAGGAACCGCGCAGGGAAGCGGGCTAGGCCCGGGATTAGGCGCGGTGCCAGGTGAGGAGGGGGCACGGCCGGGGTGAGCAGCAGGGCACGGCTGGGCGGGCACTACAAAGGACCCGCGGTCTCATTTCAAACTCAAAGGGACCCTCCGGAAGGTCCCCCGGAGCCGCCGGGACCCCCCCGGCCCGGGCCCGACACCCGGGGCCGCCCTCGCAGCCAGCAGCGCTCCCAGCTCGGCCCCTGCTCCCCCGAATTTCCCAAAAACCAGCAGGGCTCCCAGCTTGGCCCCTGCTCCCCCAAATCTCCCCCAAAAAAACCAGCAGCGCTCCCAGCTCGGCTCCTGCTCCTCCGAATTTCCCAAAAAAAAACCCAGAAACGCTCCCAGCTCGGCCCCTGCTCCCCCAAATCTCCCCAAAAACGAGCGGCGCTCCCAGCTCAGCCCTGTGTGCCCCAAAAAACGAGCAGCGCTCCTCACTCATCCCTTTTTCCCCCGAAATTTCTCCAGAACGAGCAGCGCTCTCACCTCAGCCCTGTTTTCTCCCCAAAAGTCGCTCAGCGCTCCCAGCTCAGCCCTGTTTTCTCCCCAAAAACCGAGCAATACTCCCAGCTCATCCCTTTTCGCCCGGGATTTCTCCCAAAACGAGCAGCTCTCCTGGCTCATCCCTTTTTTCCCCATCCCGGAGTTTCTCCAAGCAGAGCTCACATCCCGTTTTCCCTCTGAGTTTCCAAACAAGTTTCCCATCCCTTTTCCCCATCCCGAATTTCTCTCGCTCCCGTTTTTCCCGTTTGACACCCGGGGGGGGTTGGGGACACCCGGGGGGGTTGGGGGACACCCGGGTCCTCCCCAGGGCTAGTGGGGAGAGGGACCCGGGGTTTGGGGACCCGGATTTTGGGGATCGGGGATTTGGGGATCGGGGATTTCGGGACCCAGGATTTTGGGGATCCGAGGGTTTGGGGACCCGGATTTTGGGGATCGGGGATTTGGGGATCGGGGGTTTAGGGATCGGGGATTTTGGGGATCCGAGGATTTGGGGATTGGGGGTTTTGGGACCTGGGATTTTGGGGATCCGGGGATTTGGGGATTGGGGATTTCTGGACCCGGGATTTTGAGATGCGAGATTTTGGGACCGGGGATGTCAAGATCGGGATTTCGGGATCCCGGATTTCAGGGTGAGGGATGAGGGATTTCAGGACCCGGCATTTCGGGATGCGGGATTCCAGAATCTGGGGTGTCGGCATCCGGGATTTTGGGATCCGGGAGTTTGGGATCCGGGATTTCTGGAGTTTGGGATTCGGGATTTGGGTTTGGGGATGTCGGGGTCCGGGATTTCGGGATTTCGGGATCCAGGATTTTGGGATGCGGGATGTGGGATTTGGGGATGTCGGGGTCCGGGATTTCGGGATTTCGGGATCCAGGATTTTGGGATGCGGGATGTGGGATTTGGGGATGTCGGGGTCCGGGATTTCGGGATCCAGGTGTGTCCCTGAGGGACAGCAATGGGTGGGCAGAGGGTGCAGAACCCCGGTGAGACTCGGCCTCGTTGCCACGGCTGGGTTTTATCACAAATCTTCTATTTACAAACATTATTTTATAGAAATGATAGACAACAATTTGTATTCCACACAATCCATATAATTGATATAAATCCATATAACCCATATAATTAATACATCCCATATAATCCATATAATTAATACAATAAATATAATCAATATAATTAATATATTCCACACAATCCTATAATCAATATAATCCATATAATGCATATAATTAATAGATTCCATATAATAAATATAATTAATATAAGCAATAGAATTAATAGAATTAATATATTCCACATAATCCATATAATCAATATAATTAATATAATAAATATAATT